ATTTATAAATTGTTTGATTTATCGTAGTTTCGTTATTTTAATTACTTGACTCTGCGATTGATTTATTGCATTTTTAATTTTTGAAAACTATTAGTATATTTAAATCGATAAAAAAGTCAAAGCAATGGCAAGTGAAGTATATATTTGAAAAGCATTATTAAAGGGAATCTCATGATATAAATATTCATAAATATTAAAGTGATTATCTGTCATAAATATTGCAATAAATAATTTATGACTTCCATTATGTCTTAATTGGAAATATTATATAATAATATAATAATAAAAGATAAAGAGGATCTGCAATATTTCCAACAGTGTTATGCTGAAAATAAAATAGTAAATAGCTTTCCGAAATCGACAACTTTATTGATAAAGAAACAAATATCTTGATATGATAAATTAAAGTCTTGATTTTATTGCGAAAATAATTTTCTTTATACGACTCAATTTTCTTAATTAATTCAAATCAATACATTTATTGATTAAAGCATTTAGAGATGAGAAAATATAAATTTATATCAGTTTTACTTAAAAAATATCGATTTCTTTCGTTTGTAATTTTGATTAAAATCCTTTCAAAATAGTATTTAGCCTCGATTAAAATAATATTAATAATATTTAATTGATTTTAGGTAATATCGTTTTAATTATTCGATTTTTCAATCCAAGCTTTATTTATATGATTAATACTTGTTTATGCTATAAAGTGGGCAACAGTTTATGCAAACTGCAGAACGAATCATTATTTTCTCATTGAATGAGCATGAAATTTGCGTTGCACCAAATTAAATTAAATTGAATTAAATGTCGATAATATCGAATAATTTTAACTATATTCACCAATGCGTAAAAAATCAAGGATGCTCCCGTATTAAATTGTTTCAAATATTTTCGTATGACAAATACTATCTCTCATGACAGGATTTAATTTTCTATATACATTATTCAGCTTTATAGCTTTCGAATTAATAATTATTAACAAAGAATTTCAAAGAGAAGGAGAGAAAATCTCATTTGATATAGGATATAACGCAAAGCAATGCAAGGAAGTTGCTGATTGTATAGGAACATGTAATCCCGCTTAACAAATCCTCTTACAACCTCTCATCCGAACTATGGAAGCGAACATAATATTAATTCCTGCTGTTAAACAGGTCGTAGGTGCGTTAATATTCGTTTATTACAAGCCGAGACAACGATATCGCCTCCAGGTCTTTCTTAACTTTAAATTATACGACGTTCACGGTCTTGCGGGGGAGTTTCCCTTAAGGGCGTGCAAAACGAATGTTACTGCAGTAACGCATTGGAAGTTCCCTTAAACGTTTGATCGTCTCATTAAATAACTTTGAGCATACGTTAATAACAATTTGTAATGTAGTAATATATGCAAGCAGCGCTGTATGTGCATCTTTCACGAGTAACGAGTTCTCTTTTGCTTAAATAGTTTGATGTTGTTGCAAGAAATCATAATTGTACAACAACGATGTGCATATATATTGAACAAGAAAGCGGACAATAAAATTTAAAAAATTTCTAATTGAGTTTTTATCGAGACGTATCGATTTATATCTTTTTATTATGGTCCAATGTTCCACTTTTAAGGTGTTTATTTTTTATTTATATTATAAGTTATATTGTATATTTTATAACATATGTTTAAGAAAAATATATAAATTAAAAATATGATTAAAAACCTTATATATATATATATATATATATATATATATATATATATAAATGCAAATTCGATAATACAAGATGGAAATTAATTTTTAAGATATAATTATAAAAAATGTTTAAATTCAAAAATTGCGTATATTCATTATCTATGAAGTTATCACATTTTTATGTTTCTTTTTATAGCGAAATATATTTACCCACGATTGTGAAAATTCGCACGATCAGTTTAGCTTTCAGCTTCTGAAAGAAGAGCTGATGAAGAATTTTAGGTGTTTAAAAGTTACGCGCGCGCTTGCTTCTATTTTCGAATCTAACAAGATTGAGAACTCGGAGCTCTCTCTGGAGTAAAACCGCGTCTCCTGATAAAACGAAAGAGATGAGGAGAACGTTTGGGGGGGGAGGGGAAAGGAGGTCGGAGAGGTGGTCAAAGGATTACATCGCTCTCGATTTCAACATCCTCCCACATCGGGACTATCTCTACTTATCCTCACCTCGGGACGTTCCTCTTTGAACCACGTCTCATCTGCAAACTCATTAAGCAATTTGTTACTCTCTCGAAGGGTCTTTAACGCTATTTCCTTTCCGTCTATCCCTCGTTTACGCTCTTCGCAAATATATATCGCGTAACCAGAGCTTTCGAACTTGTCTGCATCGTTTAATGAAATTCCAGACTATTTATTAATCAGTTAACGGCTTCGATGAAGGAAATGCTTAAAATTCGCTTCTAAGCATCGATTTTAAATATTAAAAAATTTGTTAACCGCATGTATTTTCCCTTCTTATTAATGTGGTACACTATGTTGTGTAAAAATTAAAGTAATAAAATAATTAATATAAATAATATAAATAAATAATCAAAAAATCAAAAAATAATTATTACGCGTAATTAAAAATTTTTATTTGCCTGTTGAAATGATATTTAATAAGTATATTATATAATTTCCGAGAAAAAGTTATTTAAATATATGAATTTCCATCTTAATATTAATTATTATAAATATTTTAAGTACTTTAAAATGTAGAACACTTTATATGTATATTCTTATGACACAACAATATAAAATGAATCGTTTTATCATGGAATAATGAGTAATTAATTTTACATCAATAATAAATAAATTATGAATTGTGTACTCACTTCTATCATCACTCGATGTTTCTTCGGGCTCCCTTCTTCTCAGTTCGTCTTTTGTTGTTTCATCATGGACTGCACTCACTTGCGAAGATATGATTAATTACAATCACGTAGCACTTTACACAACACTCCCGATATTAATAGCACGTGTATTTTATTATGTTGCGATGGACAACAATAAGAACATTTTATTCGAAACTAGAATTTTCACTAGGCAATCGAAAATCATGCGATGTCGAGTTCGTCAATAGCCGTGAAACAATATTAATCTATTTCTGTCAAAAGCGAAGAATATATTGTCACATTTTAGAATAATTTTACTATTTCACATAATAATAAAAATATATAAATATACAAGTTAAAATGAAAAAGGTATCATATATATATCGAATCTGTCTCGAGAAACACGCAATTTGAATAATTACAAGGAATATATGAGTGACATGCGACAATCGATTAAGAGTGGATCGGTATTGTGATATTTATTATTTTGATATATGAAATATGAGATTAATGTAATTCTACTTATTAATTAAACATATCGCGATACCCGATTAGAAGTAAATCGGTATTATTATCGATATCTACGTTTTTTATTAATGATCGAAAAATATATCAGCTTCAATCTGATATCGTGCGATATCACGCGAATGGAGTTAATGATTAAAAGGTGATAGACCGTTTAAAAATGTAGAATCGAAATTTTATATCGCGCGCGCGGTACATTTTGGATATGTAAATCTCACGAAAAATCGAAAAAGGTATTATTTTTACTTTAAATAAATCACGTGAAGCATCCGTCTCGATAAATAGTCGCGTCGACATAATTAGGAATCGTAAGTTAATCGTAATAATCAAGATGATCGTATTTAGAAGGATAATACGGCGACGTACACGGAGCAGCTTTCACCGCTGCGTACTTGCTCGAGTGTCGTCACACGAATGATGACAAGGTGACCTAGCGTAAGCAACGCACGGTTACAGCGTCGCAAATCGAACATCAAATACCGCGCGATTAATTCATCGATGAAATACTAAATGCGTTACAGAATAAATGCAAACCAAATATTTTTTTTCTTTGACTTTTAAATTAATGATCAATTAACGATATCTTTCAATTATACAATATGTTCGAAAAGTCTCGGACCGGCAAAATATCTTAAAAACATTTTGAGACATTTTAGAAAAAAATGTTTCATACAAAAGTTGTTGGGTTTCAACAAATGCATCAAATAGCAACATTTATTTGATCTTGAGCATAACCATGAAAGAGCTCTCAAAGTCAATTTTAAAATTTTAAATGGAAACCTCCAATTTTTACTCAATATTCTTATAGCTTATCTCGAGAGCTTTTCAAAACACTATAATAAAATATTTTTTCATTGAGTACTTTTCGAGTTATGAGATTTGAAATGATTTCTTAATTTTACATAAACTATATCATACATAAAATATGTAGTAAAATATTCATTTTATGATTATCTTATCTTAATACTTTTACGTATAAAATATAATGAGAGAAATTAATTGGTATAAAGAAAACACTTAATTGTTTCTAAGAAAATATATATAATTTGCAATTAACAATTATATATTTTTTTAAATCAACTATATTTTTTCTTTACACCAATTGATTCTTCTCACTATTTTGTACATAAAAGTAATTAAGGTAATCGAAAAATGAATATTTTATTAGATATTTTATGGTTTACTTTGTATGAAACATTTTTTCCTTTTCAAGATATTTTACCGGTCTGGGCCTTTTCGAACACATTGTATATCTTTCGTCTTTATGTTGAAATTACTTGGTGTGCGAAAGTGTCTGAGAGTCATATATTACTTTCAATCGCGAAAAATTGAGTGCAAGTCACATTTAAGTCGGCGAAAGATTCAAAGTGTGATATAAGATTATAAGGAAGATTAATTTTTACATTTTGTTTTTTATTTTTTTATTAGAGGATTAGACGGAATCCAATCGAGATAAAAAGACTTTGTTGATGAGCGATATTACAATACATTTTCCATGACGTGTATGAATGTCGATTGAATAATAATCTTTTCGTCTCTCAGCGCGTCGGTCCTTTCCCCCTCTTGGCGCATCGGTCCTTTCCCCCTCCTGGCGTTCTTTTTGTTGCGCGCTTCACTACGTCGTATTGATATACTGTCAAGTACCATACACAAGGTCGCGTCGTTATTTTATTCCAATTCAGGCATTCTTGAGTCACACACATATCCGTAATAATTTTAACGAAACAATTTATAATTTCGATTCGCACGTAGTAGTGGCTTGGATTAAAATATTACATCAAAGTAATTTCGAGTCATGGTAATATTTCTCGACTACAGCATTGTAATTTTATTAATTCGATGTTTTTCGTATAATTATATATTTAATTGTATATTTTTTTCTTTTTCAGAAATCGCAATTTTTCGGACACTATTATTTCCCATTATCGCGCTGATTAAACACCCGAGACACTAGGCAGCGGGAGGTTTAATGGACTCCATTGTTTCGACGATGTAGACGCACGTATTATTGTTGACCGTCCGTTAATTGAGTGACAGCGGATAAATACCTCGCCGGTTGCAAGAATAATCATTGTCGCTCTTATCATCGTCATCATCGTCGTCGTCATCAGCATCGCTTGTGCCATTCCCGATCTCGATTGTCGTCTACGTAGCTACAGGAAGCAGCATCCTTGCTAGGTAAGTTATTTAATGTTAAATATTATTTATCGTTATCAATATTTATTAATTCATAGAAATCGAAAGTGATTCAGGGCCACATTCATGTTCGATGACATGTGTGATTAGAAATGAATAGAACAGCATATATGGATGAGAAACTAATCGGTTCGAACGATATAAATGTCATTAGCAAATAGAAAATATTATTTTCCCGGTCGCGCAGAAAAATGCGTTCTCCCGTTACATTCGATCGTTTCTCTCTGTACGTACATACATATATGTGAGATTCCGATTGCATATCAATGCGGAATTGCATCCGACCGATCGATCGTTGCGCTCGCGGATATGGTGCGCACCGATTAACGCCAGAATTCTCGCTTAACTGATTGCGCCAGGTTCGTGAATTTTCCACTCGTGGCAAGTGGTTACTTTGTACGCACATTATGTCTTTTAAATATCTTTTAAGTTATAATAATTCTCAATAATATTAATTGATCTCAAAAAGCATTTAAAGACATTTAATTTTGAAATATTTCAAAACATTTAATTTTTTATATTCATATTTTTTTCATTAAAAAAAAAATATTTAATTTTGATATATTTATTTTATCATTTTATCCATATATATATATATATATATATATATATATATATATGAATGTATGTATGTATTTTATCCATATACATATAATTGTAGACATAATATTTTTTAAATTTTTTATTCGAACTCTTGCTGATATTTGGAGGCAGACTCTTATAAAACGCGCCAAATATAAATTTTTAAATATAATATATCTATCGATAAATGTATAATGTAATACTTTCGTGTAAGTTATTCGATTTTTATTATTTTATTATTATTTTTGTTTGGATAAGTCATTTGAACAGTATATCATTCGTTTTTTCATTCTTTTTTCATGTCGTCGAGTTCTCTCTACGTGCATTAAAGTATACTAGAGATATGACGATATCTCTTGAATCGTAGATATATCGAAAGTATAGAGTTCGTTGCCATCCGTGGACGGGAACAGACGTGTTCAAATGCACGTGTCCTTCGTCTGGACCCTCTTTTTATTCCTCTTCCTAAGAGGACCCTGAAGCTTCTAATTATTATACAACATTATTATAAATTTTCTACCAGTTGTTGGCCGTTTCAGTGAGAACTAACTCTATACTTGTCACGTGCAATTATAAAAAATTAAAGCAATTAAAAAAAATCGAAAGTATTGCTGTTAAAGTAGTCAAAGTTATGCAAGTACCTTTTCTAATCCAATTATCCGTAATAGCATAATTTTTCCTTGTATTTTTCTATATGACAAAATTTTGCAACATACATATATAACATTCCAGAGCCATCGATACATGTTTAAATCTAGAATATATATAAAAACATATTCGTAACATATTTTAAAATACGTATAAATATTCTCCAAGTGAACTGGATTAGAATTAATAGCATAAAAATTCGTTTACATAGTCACGATTATATTCAGTGCGTACTCTCGTGTACCCGATATAATCGTTAACTTGATTACATTTTGGTCGACCCCGCTTATGCGACGCATAAACCGACGCGTACAGTCGGAGGAGAAGCGAGGACGGGACACGACAAAAAGCGAAATCGTTATTCGCGTAGCGGTCCGTGGTGGGCCCCGTCGGTGCAACGGGGCCCCGTTTGATAAGACCGCCCGCGGCGAATAACATTTTAATCTGACGGCCGCTCGCGGTCCCCCTACTGTTGCCATCCTTCTCGCGCGTTCCCTTCGGATCACGCTCCTCCCGCTCCTCTCGTTCTCTTTCTGTCTCTCTCTCTCTCTCTCTCTCTCTCGCTTATCCGAGCTTCCTGCGAGCTTCCACCGGAGAAGATTGCCTACCTGCCGCCTCCTACACACACCTATGCGGCTCCTCTACGCGGTTCCTCTCGCTCCTCGTTACGGCGCGCTTCGTCACGCATATTTACGCTTTGCTTTATGAGCCGACGCCACTGGCGCGCGCGGCCCTAATTTCAAGGGGCCCTCACGAAAAGGAAATTTCTTTTATTCTCCTTATGACGTTGGCACAGGCTTATATGTGTTAATTATTTCGTTATATATTTTGTTTTAATATTTCTCTCTTTTTTCATCAGTATTTCGAGATTTAAATGAAACTCGACATTGTTGCGTTTTAAATAAATAGTTTCTATATGGTTGTTCAACCGTCTTTACGTAGGAAATAAATTTTTTTAAATAATATTTAAACAAAACTACTTAAATAATTTGTTTTTAATAATCTGCATTTGCATATGTGACTGACAATACAGCTAAAAAGCAAAAAAATAATATTTGTCAAAAGAACTTTTCCTTGTTTAATAGTGAATATAATTATACGTTGAATTTAAAAATACTTGGATTAACGCATATAATGTTGCACGTAATTTAGACGTTATTGAATTCGCGTATATGTGTTTCAAGTATAAGATAAAATTTCGCAAAGACTTCTTTGAAATTTTTCACATATATCAACTTTCACATGCATGGACATTCGTTCTGTCTTCTCGGTTTTATTCCGCTTTTCATGTATGGGGTGTCGGTATTAAGGCGAATGGCGTCGGTACCACGGTACGCTTTTCAATTGGAATATGAATTATTGAACAGTGCCCTGCGCTCTGTCATATCTATGATCCGGCTTCATCCGATATTGATGACTATATTTTAGAACTTCCGGATTATTCTGATTATTTATATATTGCACTATGTTAGAATTGAAAACAATTGTTTGAAAATGTTTTAATAGCTCTTTTTCCTAAACACTCGCCGCTCTTTCTGTGTGTCTCTAGTTTTAATTAAAAACTGATAACAAAGAACGCATATTATATTATCATCGATTAAATGTTGTCGCTTAATGTGCGTCAAACCAAACGATGCATAAACACACACATCTCATTTATTCAAAATATATGACGCGAAATTCTATAAATATGAAAAATCCAACAATGGCACAGTCATGCTCAACGCGTCCATTAAATAAAAAAAGAAATAAATAAAATTATCCATTACAAAGATGGCGGTCATTACGTATGAAGCAATTGTTGTAAGTAGAGACACCGTGATCTTTCTTTACCGTTGTAACGCGACAAAATTTTACACAGGCCTACTCTTTGCTGTAGTCTTCATGTCATATATTGATTTTTCACATCGCAGCACAAAATTCAAAAAGATATTGATACTTTATACGAATTATTTTCGTTTCGCACGTTATAAAATATTCATATTTCTCGTGAAGGTCAACCACGTTAAATTTTTTTTATACGGAATGGTGTATTAGAAAAAAAAACCGATGGATTTTAGGAAGATTTATTATAATTGAGACTTTCTTGGAATAATGCAGTGAATTTTCAATGATCAATAATTATACCGAATTATACTACTATATTCTAATAAGCATTGCGAGAATTGTTCATTTCATTTGAAACAATTTTATGTTTTTGTAAATCGTTATTAAAAAGTTGTAAAGTGAATTTCATGGGAAATTTATTTGCCTTTAAAGTCATTTAAAAAGTCAAGCTTTTAATAGTTTTATAATAGTTATTGTAATTATTATAAATATTATTATTATAATTATATTAATATTTTATTATAGTACACACATACATTAAATATAGTAATGTATTATTAATTCATTTCCTCGGCAATTTCAACTGCCACATTTTATTTTAAATTTAAGTTGTTTACCCGCATAAATAGTTTTATACGGTTTTGATTTCTCTCTCTTTCTCTCTCTCTCTCTCTCTTTTCATTAAATGGAACATCTCAAATTCATTGAAATGTCATAGACGTCACAATTTATTCACTCCTGCCATTCACTGTGTTTTCTTATCGACATTTTTCCATTGAAAAATACAAATATTATCATTTCGCTATTTCATGGCGCCGGAAGCCATATTCTGGAAAATAATAATCGAATGACACAAAAACGTTATCGTGAGCGGTGATACTATTCGAAATAACGGAGAGATTTTATTTATCGCCGTATATTTTTAACACTTTGTGGAATTTACTGAAAAATGACATTGATAAGATTGATATTAACTTTTGCGATTTCATTTTCTAAAGTTTCGTATCTAGAGAATGCAGTTTTATCGTGTGCTATTATTTGCTTACTAAATATCCAATTGAGAAGAGACAGCACAATAATTGAAACGGAAAAAAGAAGTGCTTTGAATATCGAAGTTTCATTTCTATCATAATTATATCCATCTCGGTGATACATTTCTCCTTTCCTTTTTTAGCGAATACAACTCCATAAAAACTGCGTGAGAATTCTTGGCTGAAGAGAAAGCGAGAATAAATATTTAAATATTAAGAATATCAAGAATCACTCGGCGCGCAAGAAGTATTCTTTTATAATCTAAATATTAAAAAATGAACATTTGTGCGCGCCGTTTTATCCTATTTTAATTAAAAATTGATAACAAAGGGAACCCCATATTTTTGCCGATTAAATATATGCAATATGAACAAGACCAAATCATACATATATGCATGTATCCCAAACTGAATCGTGAATTTGATCGCAATCGCTGATACGAGATTGCAATATAATTATAATATAATTAATATTTTTTCTGTGTAAAATTTATGATCGAAAATTTATGATTTTAGAATTAGAATATCTACTTTATTCTTTGTTTATACCACTCGATACAATAAGAGGAAATTTCAGAAACTCACTTCGCGTGAGTGTTATTTCTAACAATTTTCCCTGCGTGTATCCATATCATATTAACGAGCCAATCATTGGGATCCTCTTGAGTTCTACTTTCCTCTATATCCACCCTCCTCGCTTTAAGTAGATAATCTGGTCTGGATTCAGCAGCCCTTTCAGACCCTACGGGACATCCCCTAATCGTCAACGTACCATCAGTGCGTTAATCAAAATTAGTCTCTTTCTCTCTCTCTCGATTCTCTTTAATTTATTTCAAAATATTTTCTTATTTTATGAATACGTATAATATATATGTAAAAAAAATGGTAAAATTA